AAAAAATAATGATCTGTAGTACCTTGTTAATACTGCTCATGAATCACAGCATGCCTGGTCACTAATTTCCCTCATGAGAAAAACATAAAAATATATGATGATAATCACCGTGCTGCTATATAAAGATTGTCAAGTTCATAAGATTATATTCTCTTTTTCTTTCATTTTTTCTAAAAATCTCCTTAATGTGATTACTTGATCTCCTCCGTTGATTATGATTGTGCATCATCGCGTTTTGTCATACTATTCGACTATTCGTGACCTCACAGTGATGAATTCTGCTCTCTATCACTGTACGCCATACATATGCCATATGATATGACCACTTTTATTCTGGTACAAGAAAGAAAAATTTATGTGCAGTAAACAGAATGTTAGTATCTTAGTGAGCATCATCGAAATTGTACTAGCTCGGACTATTTCTCTAGTGATGTACTGATGTTATTGGGCACAAAAATCTGTAGCAAACTATCCAGCACACATTTATTCGCCTTACAATTACACAACATACGCTGGAGCACTACAATGCATGCCATATTGCAATGTCATGAAATTACAGCCGTTCCAATCAGCATCAGCATCACCAGGTAAGCACGTAGCTAAAGCACAATTTGCAGCAACCAGAATTGTTACGTTTTTAGCAATCGATATCTAATAAGAACAGGGGCACATGGAGAAGCAGGGGAGCACGTGCGCGCACGTGAGAGAGTGTGTAGGAAACATAATCTCAGATATAGGGGCGGCTACGATTCAGATATTTGGGGAGCTAACCAAGTATTGATAACAAAAATATAGGGTACCATCGGCCAAGTCTTGATGTTGGCTTAAAAAATTATCTCTTTTGATGTCGGCTTAACAAACTATAATAAATCATCTTTAATCTCTTCATTTTTAAAAATGATAATTGCCTAAATCAAGATAAAAAGGGATCTTGGACGGGAAAATTTGAAGACTGCCATTATAATTTTACTAAATTGGAGATATGCCATCTCGGGAGGAGGAAGATGTTAGTTTGGAAGGTCAAGTAGTGCCTAGGAAGGATACCTTTCGATATTTAGGATCAATGCTACAGAGGGACGGGGACATCGATGAAGATGTTAGCCATAGAATCAAAGCAGGGTGGATGAAGTGGCGGCAAGCATCTAGTGTCCTATGTGACAAAAGGGTACCACAGAAGCTAAAAGGCAAGTTTTATAGGACGGCGATTAGACCTGCTATGTTGTATGGTGCAGAATGTTGGCCTATGAAAAGACGACATGTTCAACAGCTAAGTGTCGCGGAAATGCGTATGTTGCGTTGTATTTGCGGTCATACAAGAAGGGATCGAGTTCGGAACGGTGATATACGTGATAGATTAGGGGTAGCGCCAATTGAAGAAAAGCTTGTCCAACACCGGTTGAGATGGTTTGGACATGTGCAACAGAGACCCCCAGAGGCACCGGTGCGTAGTGGAATCCTAAGCCAGGATAGTAACGTGAAGAGAGGCAGAGGAAGACCGAAGTTGACTTGGGTAGAGGCAATAAAAGGAGACTTGAAAGGATGGAATATACCCAAAGACTTAGCCTTAGATAGGAGTGCTTGGAAGACAGCTATTCACGTGCCTGAACCTTGATTGCTTCTGATGGGTTTCAACTCTAGCCTACCCTAACTTGTTTGGGACTTAAAGGCTTTGTTGTTGTTGTTGTTGTGGAGATATGCCATCCTGTCCCACATGTTATTGACTCGTGTGTGCCCCACATATCAGTGAGATACCAATGGCAAATCTCCAACAACATAGCCTTTCAGTCCCAAGCAAGTTGGGGTAAGCTCCCAATGGCAAATCTCCAACTTTGCAAAATTATAATGGCAAATCTCCAAATCTTGAACACTTAATATTCGACAATCAAGAGATGTATTTGGAAAAAAACAATCTAGAATTAATTAAGAAGGCTTCTTTACTTATAATCTCTAGTGAAAACTAATGACAAGTATTAGTGAAGACTGTGCAACATTAGGGGGGAGGGGAGGCAGGCCCCTGTCTCTACCCCTGGTATGACAGTTCATTTCACTTCAAGTGGCATAAGAGTTCGATGTTAAATCACTAAATCAACATAAGATTGTAGGAAAACCAAACTAATACCTAGATGGATATACTCACAACATAGATTAGTATTGATACCAGGATGGCAGATTTGCACAGAAAATTAGAGTGTTTTTTGTAAGATAGAATACAATCTGCTGAGCAATTAATCAAGTAAAACTGGCCTGAGGTATAGCATGCAAGATGTGTGGTATAGATGAATCCATATGTTTAGATGTTCTTTAGCGATCTTTGTGTGGAGTATTTGCAGAGACGTGCTAGATTGGCAGCACACCCTGTAACCTGTGAATTAGGAGTTTTCAGGATTTCTTGAATTTAATTTGAAAAACAAATAAAAACTCCGTTTACTCTTCATATTGGGCTATGTTTGATGGACACTTCCGGCTCACCAGGAATGATTTGTTTTTAGTGATAAAGCCGTATTATAGTTTCCTCAGATAAGGTCATCTTTCACTAATGCCATTCATGCAGCAATGGAAAGCTTTGAGCAAGGAGGAGAACCAATGATGCCTCACATCTACTGCTGAGGACATGAGGGACTGGCATGTGACACTTCGCACTACTACTGATTCTATTCTGTCGACAGATATGGGATAGGCTTAAGGGCATGTTTGGTAGAGCTTTGCTCCTAGTTTCTTCGAGTGGATTTTGTGGAGTCCTACCATTGGTTAAAATGCAACTGAATTCTAATGGGAAGCTGATGAAAATGACTTCCCCATTTACACTACGAGCTGGGAGCTAAAAAATCCTGCTCCCCGTTCAATCAAATCAGAATCACTTCTCACCTGCTCCCCACCAGAATCATTCCATCAGAGAATCAAGGAGTAAAGCTCAAAAATCAAGAAGTGGAGCTCTAGCAAAGTGGCCCTAAGTGCTTTTGCAACTTCGTTAGTTGTGTTCTTTGGTTAGAGTTTCCTGCTTTTGCTGTTGGAAGCCTAATCTGGGCGTCATTCTTATCTTAGTGCCCTCCCTTGTAAAAGTAGGTTAAAGCTTGTGAATCTGTGACTTGTCATGTAAAGCTAGTAACCCCAGCGGATCTATTTTGCTTTCTACAAAACAGGGAAAGCCTTTAGTTTAAAGAAACAACATAGATTGGTACCTAACCTAGACATGGTTTTCTTCCATAGGTTCTATCTTCCTATAAAATGCATCCGGATATGCACAGAACAGTGTGTAAAGTAGACCAACAGTATGCAGGGGACAACTTTCAATTTAAGATACATGGATAATTCCTAGTGCAGTAGTGCTTATTCAAAAGTACACTGAAATCTTAACTATGAACTATAATTCCTACTGGTTGTTCCATTTTACACTGAAAAACATAACTATGGACTATGGGCATTAAAAAAAATGATATCTAATCTAGTACCTTATAATGCTCATAAATCACAGCACTCAAGTCACTAATTTTCCACATGAGAAAAACATAAAAAATATAATGATAATCACCACGATGCTGCTACATAAAGATTGTCAAGCTCATAAGATCATATTCTCTTAGTCTTTTTCTTTCATTTTCTAAAAGATGTCCTTAATGTGATATTGTGATTGCTTGATCTCCTCCCTTGAATGTGATTGTGCAACATCATGTTTTATTATACTATTCGGAACCTCACAATGATGAATAATGCTCTATATGTCATAGATATGTCAATTTGTCATATGATATGACACTTTTGTTGTAGTACAAGAAAGAAAAGACTCCCTCCCTTCCAAATTATAAGACGTTCTGGCATTTCTAGATGCATAGCTTTTGCAACGCATCTAGATATACAAGAAAAGCCAGGACGTCTTATAATTTGGAACGGATGGAGTAGTTTCTTAGTGAGCACCATAAAAGTTGTACCAGCTTCAGCTATTTCTCTACTGATGTTATTGGGCACAGCAATCTGTAGCAAACTATCCAGTGGATTTATTAGCCTTACAATTGCACAACATATGCTTGAGCATTACACCGCACGCCATATCGCAATGTCACGAAAAATAAAGCTGTTCCCATCAGCATCAGCATTACTAGGTAAGCACGAATAGCTTAAGCACAATTCGCAGCAATGAGAATTGTTTCATTTTTAGCAATCGACATCTAATAAGAACAGGCACATGGAGAAGCAGGGGAAGACGTGCGAGAGAGAGAGAGTGTAGGAAAACGTACATGAGGTAGGCACCGTGGGCGAATGCACCGGCGAGGACGCCGTAGAAGAGGCGGTCCCTCACCACGGGATTGTGCCGCAGCCCGATCCTGACTGCCCCGTCGAACCGCGCGGTGAAACAACCGAAACACAAGTCAGCAAACGCAGCAAGGGAAGGGGGGAATGGGGGAAGGGCGTAGAGAGCGTACTGAGGGGGAGCGCGGGGGCGTAGACGAGAGGGAGCAGCAACATATACGGCGGCTTCCGCTCGTGCTGCGGGGGGCGCCTCACCGCCGCCGGATCGCTGACACGAGAGGACGATGTGAGTGGGTGAGATCGCTGGGGGCGGAGCAATTGGGCGAAAGTAGAGGCGAATTGAGTAATAACAGGCAGTAGATAGCTTACTCGAACCGCGAGGAGGAGGAGGAGGCCATGGCCCCGCCGGAGACGGAGGCGAGGAGATCGAAACGGAGGAATCTGAACCAGAGAGGAAAGGGGAAGAGCCGAAGAGGGTTTGGCGGTTTGGCCAGGCTGCGTTGCGTGCTTCGGTTTTGGTCAGTTCGGGCGCTGCTGGTTTTGGAATTCGTTGGCAGCTAGTGGCACTGTGGTTTTCAATATAGTAGAGTAGGCCAAATGTGGCTTACTGGATCGGGTAACCAGCCCACTAATGAGGGACAACTACAGGATATCTAGACAGGCCCGGCCCATATTGTCACTACCGCAGCTCTCCGCGTGTCGCGGCTTCCGAATCCTGACGCGAGTGGATCGGCGGCGGCGGGCGGCGGGCAGCGATGATGCTGAGGGCGCGGGGGGCGGCGGGAGCGCTGCTCCGCCTCGCCGGCGCTGGAGCTGGCGTCCAGAGCGGCGGGGTCCCTCCAATAGCGCGCGCGGCGTTCGCTCGCGGCTTCCTGGATTTCCGCAAGGTAGGCGCTGCTTCGTCTCCGTTCCTCCTCGCTTCCTCCGCCGCAACTGCAGTTGCTATTAGTAGATGGTTAGAGTCAATCCGTAGAAATGGAATGGTTGAGAGTAAAAGATTGACTTGTTTGTTTGTGTTGCTGGAGTGATTAGACGGGGAACAAGGAGGCCATGGAGAAGGAGAAGGAGAAGAAGAAGGCCAGGCTGTAAGGCTCCCTCTCCTCCCACCTCATTTACTAGCCATTAGCAGTTACTGATGCTGCACTGACTGCAGCATTGGATGGATGTAAACATCCTAACATGTGATGCTTTGGTTCTGATTGGTCTAGTGCAGTACCGATGAAATGAGTAGAGGCTACTTCGCAGACATTGCCGAGATCCGCAAGAATGCTGGCAAGGTATATCACCTATATATAGTGTGTTGCACAAATTTACTAGTTGTTGATCGCTTTGAGTAACCAGTAATTACTCTGTGGTAAAAATGGTTCAGATTGCGATGGCGAGTAAGGTCGTCATCCCAGAGGCAGATGCTGTGACGTTTCCTCATCTTGCTGTGGATTCCCCTGCTGGAGGGGCGCTGCATCTGCCTCTTGTTGCGTCTGCTCTGCAAGACAATGATGGTGAGGCTGGAGACCATGTGATTCCTAGTGCTTCATTGGTGTGCCTTTCCTTCCGTGCAAGCTCGCTGGTATGAGGAACTGCCCAGCTGCTTTTTGTTAGATATTAGCTGTAGTTTGCAGCCATGGCAATGTGAATTCCAACTGTTTGGTTTTGCATTAAGTCTGCAAAAATCTAGCGCCAAACCTTTTAAGTTACTGTGTACAGATACATATTGCTAGGATTATATAGACATTGACCAGATGGTCTTCATGGTACTTGTGTCTGATAAAATCAATTTTCACCAACTACCCTGGCAACTGACTAAATTCAGACAATCATTTTCTTGTTCCTAGCCCATTTTCTTGACAGGACTTGACATCCCGCTGCAACTTCTCTCACCATGACAGAAAACATTTCAGTGTAGGGTATTGTGCCCACCAGTGCATATTGTTTGCGGATTGCCTGGCCAAATTTTGGCAGTGTACTATCAGATGCATCCACACTTGTTAGATACCCCTAAAGGGCTGTTAACTAGGAAGTCTAGGATTGAATATTGCTCTTTTTTTTACATTCTCTTGATTTTTGTCTTTCATTTTTTTTTCTTCATGGCATTTTTTGGGTGTACCAATCTCTAGATTGGGGTTCCCCTTACATATGTCAGTTTTTTTGCCTCTTAATGATTTTGTTCCAAAAAAATATATCAATATGAAATTTCATATTTCTTTTACATCTGTCAGTTTACATTGCATTCATTGTATGCAGTGAAGCTAATATGCCATATTAATCTTAACGAGTCAATGGCTAACCGATCCTCAACAGAAAATGGCAGAGTCATGGAGTTTACCTTTCCTGGATGCATTTGGTGCTGCCAAGAACATGCATGTTTATGAGGTATTGGTGTTATACTACTTGATGATTACTGGTTTGGTGTTGGATGCAAAGTGCCAATTACAGTTTCTTAATGATTACTGGTTTGGTGTTTGATGCAAAGTGCTATCGACAATTTCTTAATGATTACTGGTTTGATGTTGGATGCAAAGTGCCATTGGCAATTTTGAGTGTAAATGAAAGAAAATACGGGATGGCGCTGAGTCTATCTTGTAACTGTACCATTCGTTATCTATTTTTTTTTTTTTACTTCTGCACATCGTTGATAATGGCTAAGATGCTTTAGCGTTAATAGTTCATATGATATCTGAATTTCTTTCATTGCCAACGTAGGCTCAGGCAAGGTTCGGCTAGGCGGCGACTACGCGCGCCTAGTCGCTGGGCGAAGCCCGTCGCCGCGACTAGGGGCATAGTCGAGCATCGCGGCGCTAGGCGGCGCGGAGGCCCGCGCGCGGCCACGAGACCCAGCCGCGGGAGGATTAGAAGGGATTCCCGCGCGGCCAGATCCCGCCGGTCCTGCTCCTCCCGCCGGTCCTGCTCCTCCTCTGCTCCTCCCCTGCTCGTCCCTTGCTCGTCCCCAACTCGCGCACCGCCGGTCCTGCTCGTCGTCGACTCGCCGCCGCCGTCCTGCTCGTCCTCGACTGGAACCCCTTGCGCCGACGCCGCCGCCGCCGCCGCCTCCACCACCGCTTTCGACGCTTCCACCCCTGGCACCGCCGCCTCCTCCACCGGCGAGGCAGGAAGGGCCCTGGAAGTGCACGGCCGCGCAGAGCAGCAGCGCGCATGGCGCCCTCGTCCCGCGTCTCATGGTCATGGCCTCCCGCTCTCCTTCGCCTCCTCGGTGCTGTGCGGTGCGGTGGGTGTGCCTGCGCGCGCGCTGGCTGGAGTTGGAGCAAGTGGCGAGAGCGCGAGGAGGGCGAGAGGGAGAGGACGGGGTGATGCAGAGCGCTCGGGGGGCTCGCCTCGTGTGCTAGGCTGCCACTGCAAGATGGTGCTTTCGCCGCGTCTTATTGTACTAGCTGGCTAGCTGCACGACGCTGAGATTTTCGTAGTGTTTTGATAAGTCATTTATATTTTTTTTAATGAACAGCTAGCTGTCTATTGACTAATTTACTAACTAGTAGCTGTCAAAATGGGTTGCAGGAGCTAGGAACATGCAAAACTAAGCCAGCTAGGAATCAGATATGTCTACTAGCCCTCTTTTTATAGTTATATACATAATATATATATATAATTTATGGCTATATTGCCAAAACGCCTAGGAAAACGCCTAGGAGCGTCTAGGACCGATTACTCCCGACTAGGCGCTAGGCAATGGGTCAGCGCCTAGATTCCGCCTAGCGCCTAGCTGAACTTTGGGCTCAGGTTTTGTTACCTATGTTTATTGCATATCAGAATTAGGACAATTATTTAGCTGTTATTTTATTGCATGTGATGGAAAAGGGTAAAGGGCCTGTGGTTAAACTTTAGCTAGTGAGGTACATTTAAAAGTTGGGATTTTGGGTAGTGCTGAGAGGGGAAAATGTGACATTATTCCAAACAGCAACTGAAAGAAAATATGTTATGTTCCAGGTCTCATTTATAGATTCTTGGCTATTATCATTGAGTCCTGTGAGACGAGCATTTCTCAAGGTGATGAGGAAATCAAACAATCCACAGAGACATGTTGTCTATGCTTTTGGGGACCATTATGACTTCCGGAAGAAGCTTCAAATTATAAACCTTCTCACTGGGTAACATTAATTCCTTTCTCTTTGGTCATTTGATATAAACACTAAAAGTATTTTTTCTTGTCAATATAAGGTAGCTCTACTCTTGAACTACAGATACATATACCTGGTTGACAGCCTGGGAAGAATAAGATGGCAAGGGTTTGGATCTGCAACACAAGAAGAGCTGTCGTCACTTACAGCGTGTACCTCCATTTTGTTAGATGAAAAATGAGATGAGGTGGCTACCTTATCTCTTTTTGTAACTTCTGGTAGAAGATATTTTGTTTTTAACTCGGCAAATTGATGTTTTTTTTTTTTTTTTTTTTTTTTTTGCTGTGGCTAATAAGTATTGGATGGCTGGTTTGTTGATCTCCCATCACAGTGTGTAGCAACATCGATTGCTTGAGGGTACAACCTCGATTTTCTGGTTGAAAACGATATCCATACGTTATATCATTATATTTAACTGTTAACTTAATGCGAATAATAAGGTCACTGACCTGATTACGTGCTTAAATGCCTCTTTTGTTTGGCTCCATTTATTCGGAGGGGAATTTTTATGTCATGGAACGTGCATATGCCCTGTCCCTGTTCGTTTAGCTAATAAGTCATGACTGAAAGTATTGTTGGCTGATTTGTTGTGAGAGAAAAATATTGTTCGTTGGCTGAAAAAGTACAGTTTATAAACCAAACGAACAGAGCGTATAGTTGATGAAGATAATGCAACTGCTTGGTATATTTCTTTTCAAGTCCAAGCTTGGCTAAGTTTCGGAGATTAAGTTTAAAGCATGTTCCATAGAATTCAAAGCAAATTTCAGGCAAACCAAATTTCTCCTCTCCTAGTATGGTGAACATGTGGTTTGAGCTTCAAGCCATTGCTGACTCTATCCCGTTCTCGGATGATTGTGGTTCAATTATCTCGCATTCACTCTGTGCGGCCTCTACACTTGGTGGTCTCTTTTAAAGGGATCATTGCCGATCTATACCTTGGCCATTTGGAAAATCTGTGTCTCCCAAGAGTACAAACTTTCCTGTGGCTCCTTTGTAACAATAAGCTTCTCACTAAAGACAATTTAGCTAAAAGAAGACATGTTGAAGATATGACTTGCCTCTTTTGCAATGATAATGATTCTACTATGTATTTATTTTTTGAGTGTTGTGTGTCGTTTATTACTTGGAATGTAGCGGCACAAATCTTACATTGCAATTTGGATTCTAATTTCGAATCAGTAGCTAAATTTTGGATTTGTGGCCAAAAATGCTTTTACTAAAAATGTTTGTTCCTCAACGAACTTATCTGAGAAATGCTCCTTGTTTTTTGGGCGATACTTAGCAAGATGTGAGGAGGGTGATTAGGTTGGCGACAAAGTTGATAAGAAGATGGCACGCGGGACCGTGAGAGGTTGGAACTGGCCGTAAGATAAACGGACTAAAAGGTAAGCGAACTGCTTAGGATCATGTGGACGACGAACTCTGAAGTTACAAGAAGGTCAAATGGGATTGGGATGCTCCTAAACTGGAGAATTTTATACAACGTCTGATAGTCAAGCCTCATTATAACCTCTGTACTAATCTAGACCTAGAAAATGTTGTCGGACGCACCTCGAACATGGTGTGCTAAACTGTCAGCCTGTTCGCTCGTCGGTTTCAGCCAGCCCAAATCAGCCAGCCAACAGTGTTTTTCTCTCACAAAAAAACAGCACCAGCCAGCCCAAACCAGCACCAGCACCAACCAGCAAACAGGCTATGTGACAGTTTGTGCGCTTTGTTTTCTTGAAATAAAGCGGAGGGTTCCAGAAAAACAAATCTCCCCAATTGATTCTCTAAAAAAACAAATTTCCCCCCTCCCAAAATTGATTCTTAAAAATTTCTTCTAATAGTAAGTGGTGGTCCTCCAAAAATAATTAGTTCTCTGTGGATTGGAAGAAACGACGCCAAATGTTCTAACTGCAAAATAATTCTACCTTAGAACGCTCCGCATGGTTCCATTTTTTTTTTTTGCCTAGGTGAGCGAAACAACTCCAATCTAATTTTGCTAGATTCCATTTCTAGTCTCTCTCATATAATAGCAACCGTTTTTTATCTTTTTTTTAGGGCTCTTGTGTTCTTGCTCTTACTTGACGTGCAATTGTGATTTTGCCCTCGTTTTTTTAACTTTGTGATTTTGACCTTAACTGTTCACAAGTCAACGCGATTTTGCCCCTAGTCAACGGTAAAAACAGGGGCAAATTCGCGTTGACCAGAAGCAAAATCGCGTTGACTTGTGAACAGTTAAGGGCAAAATCACAAAGTTAAAAAAACGAGAGCAAAATCACAATTGCACATCTGTGTAAGGGCCAAGAACACCATTTTCCCTTTTTTTTAAGTGCAGCAAGTTAAAATGGCTTGTATAAGTTAATCTTCGGCCATAAAAAGTTTTTATTTTTTAAGCAAATTTTATGAAAAATATTTTGAACAGAAGCTAGTCTACCAGCCAAACAGTCGACGTATTGTAACACCCTGATGTTACGATCTTGTTTAGCACCGCGATTTAGGTTTAAGAAAAATTTCCTAGTTCTCGGGTTTTTAATTTAAAAAGTACTTGAGGCGAAGCGAATCCTGTGTGACTTAGTTTTGTGGACTCGAATCAACACTCAAGTTAAATCACGCCGTGCGTAGAAATATTTAGGAAAGTCAACGACGATTCTAGCGAACGGTTTGGTCTGTTAGTTTAAGTATGGAAAGCGACTTTTTATAAATAAAATAAAATTCATTAATAAACAGAACGATATATATATATATACACGGTAAGGCTATTCTGCAGCTGGCTACATAATAACTTATTCTATGGCCACCTTGATTTACGATAATGTTTGTACCAATTTACGATAATGACAATACACATTTACGATACATGGGTTACTATAATTCAAGATGATACTTACCATAATGCTATAGTAAATCACTTATGAGGAAGTTACCATAATCTCGTAAATTAGTATAGTAATTATCGTAACTCAAAGTGACCACAGAATAACTTATTCTGTGGCCAGCTACAGAACAGTACGTCTCTCTCTCTCTATATATATATACTTACAGGTTTATTTTGATAAACACGAACTGACGAGAGAGAGAGCGCAACAGCAGTTTCATTTATTTTCCTGACATGCAACGTACTCGACTGGCATTGCAACTATGCGCCATCTCATCATGCCACTGTCCTGTGGCCGGCGCCTTGTGCGAGCGTCTTTGCTGCCGCTTGCTGCTACTGTCGGCATGTGGCTCGCATGCACCTGCGTCACTGTTTCTTCCTTGGAAAAATTGATTCCAGCTGCTGGCATGTTGCATTGTTAAGTTGACACGAGTTTTGGGCTCTATTCAATATATATAAAAATATTTATTCCATATCAGATAAATAATATAGAGGGATAAACGCTGTCTGTGGTCTAATGCCATCTAAATATCAAGTACGCAAATAATAAAATAATATGGCCAAAAAGAAAAAGAAAATTAATATGATAGAGTATTTGGCTATGAAATGTAATCCATCTAAATATGCACGGCAAGCAGTGACGTATGCAAATGTACTCTCCCATTTGTTGTGTAAATAAAATATTACATGCCTGTGTTCGCAGCTGCTACCGTGTACGGCTTGCTTGCATGTCCTCCGGGAGAGCACGTGGTCCTGCTTCCGCCTCAACTCGTGTCAATTTCGCCGACGTGACCTTACCGAGCAGACCAAACCACTCCGTGCCGCTGCTGCTGCCTACCTTGCTTGTCTTGGCTACCTTGCTTGTCTCCGCTGCTATCTCTGTCTCTACGTCTTGCCGAGGTCACCGCTTGCTGCCCTCGTCGCTTTTAAGACGAAATCGTCTTTGCCACCATCGTTTTCGCCTCCTCCCCGCACGCGAGCCCCTGGCCCACTCTGGGCCGCTGCCCCGCATCGCATGCCGTGCACGCAGCGTCGCCCCGACGCGAACACCGGCGCCCCTCCTCGCTTCTCTCTCGCGTTGCTCGCGCACGCTTCATTGCCGTGCCGCCCCTTCCCTTCCCCGCTGCCGACCGTGCACGCGCGACCGCCGTCACGCCGAGCTCCACGACCGCCTGCACCTGCGGCCATGAC